TTCCACGAGTTCGAAGAATTAGAGAAATTTGTACAAGCTTCAATGAACGGGTTCATTTTTAAGTGGTATTTAGGAAGAATAATTCTTGAGTGAAAATACCTACTAATAATACAAAAAGTAGTAAATTTCTTGAGTATCACCAAAAGGATAGATTTAAACGAGTTTAGTGCAAAAAAGTAGAAAAAATTGTTTTTTCAACCGTTCTATAGTTAAAGCTTTATAATTATCAACGCTCACTACCAAATGATTCAATTATCTTCTGTAAAAATTATTTAAACCAATCAGGTAAAGTTTTTTACATCCTAGTCTATAAAAATGCGATAACTGACAGCTCTGAAGCTATCTAACCTCCACGTTGGCTATTCCTATTTGAAAACATCTACTACATTTTAGTTAATTTTATTTTGCATTTCTGAATAAACATGTTCCCCGAGTTGTTGACATTTGCTGATAGGTTATAGCAAATCTTAGTTGGTGACTGGCTTTACACCTACAAGGACATAACGGAAATTTTTGGATGGGGAATTATTTCAGAAAACCGACACACTCCTTATATTGCACATTTCCAAAAATTTTTAAAATTTTTGGCACAGGGACGGGCGGAGAACCCAAGGGGCTTAAGCGCGCCTTTGATTGGCTACTTTATATAATTAATAACTTATTAACGGTGCGTCAGATCAAAACACGCCAACAGACCTTTTGTCCTAAACCAAACCAATAGATTACTATCTTAAAGAGAATATAGTTTGGAGCCAAATGAAGCGCCCTCTCTGAACTTGGTTAAAAATTAAATTACGTGTTTACAGACAACTGTTGCCAACATAGCTTATAATTGGTGGAAAATCAACGTATTTGATTGGTTACTTCAATGGCTCTATATTTAAAATCTAACTCGTGGCTAGATTTTAAATTTTAATTAATAACGAAAACGATAACTTTGTTTTATATCATGTATTTAAGGTACTTCTGTGGTTATGCTGTTTAGTAATTGTCAAGCAACTTTTACAAACTAAAGAAATTCGCAGATTTATGGAAAAGCAATGAGGAAAACAAATGTATGTAAATGTAAAACAAGTGTATTTAGTATTCATTTGTAAAATCTGTGATTTTTTTAATTTGTAAAACTCGTTGAATCATTATCATCCAAAAGTACCATTAATACAGGGTGTCCCATAATTACCGTGCAATACTTTAACAGCAGATTCTACGTACAAATATAAGAAAAAAAGTTCCTATAAACATAGGCCGAGAAATGCTTTCTAAGGGAACTACAGCCCCTAAAAGAGGAACTCCTAAAGATGGTTTTTATTTAATATATCCAAAACCGTTCAAGAGAAAAGTAAAATTTTGGGAATTAATCAAACATTTTATGGCCAATAAGATTTAATAATAATATTTCAAAATTTCCATGAGGGGTTGGTCAGATAGATAGGGAATAGGGGTTAAAACCACCCTAACTTTTTTTACGTGTCTCTTGCTAGGATTTGATGTCAGATTATAAAATTTCGGAGTTTTACACACAAAAAAAGGTTCTCTTGTTAAACTTTGAAATTATCCACTGTTTTCGGTTAAAATCCATTTTAAAATTACCTTACATAGCATAAAAGATCATAATGAATTCACAAGAGAGAAAAATTCGGCGAAGGTCAAGGAACACAGCTGCCAAAAATTGTCCATGGCCTACGCTAAATCTTTTTCTCTAGTTAAGGTAATTTTTAAATCGATTTTAAGCGAAAACGGTGCATGCTATCGAAGTTCATCAAAAGGACATTTTTTGTGTGTAAAACTCTGAAATGTTATTATCTGATATCAAATCATAGCACAAGATACGTACAAAAAAATTAGGGTAGTTTTACCCCCACTCCTTATCTATCTGACCCACCCCTTGGCCATAAAAAGTTTAATAATATCCCAAAATTTCACTTTTCTATATTAAACGGTTCTGGAGATATTAAATAAAAACCATCTTCAGGGGCTCCTCTTTCGGGGGCTGTAGCTCACTTGGAAAGCATTTCTCGACCTATTTTTATAGGAACTTTTTTTCTTACTTTTGTTGTTAAAGTATTGCACGCTAATTATGGGACACCCTGTATATGGTAAGAAATATAATAGTCTACCAAAAGTAACTGTCATTATTTTGAAATTGAAGAATACTGTTAAATCCATAAATTTTATTAAACAATACATGCCTACCATCTGAAAGATTATGATTCGGTCAAAGTATCGTTTATAAATTATTATTATGCACGATGACATTATAATATGACAATTATAACAAAAATTCATTGACGTAAACGTCTTTTTATAGCCCGCGGGCGTTATTATGACCCAGCGGGCTATAATGAAACGTCAAAAATTAAAAACAACAATGTTACACCATTTGATATATTCGAAGTAAGTTTTTTCGTATAAAAATTTTAATTTTTCCGGCAGCAGGCCGCAATTTTTCGCCTTTTCAGCTGCTTCCTCAATTTCATTCATCTTTAAACTTTAAAACTGACTGATGTCAGTTGACATTATAATATGACAATTATAACAAAAATTCTTTGACGTAAACGTCTTTAAAAACATTAATATATTAATCGTGCATAAAGTTTTGTATGCATTGCTGGCATAACTGGTTTTTATGGTCCTACGACGCTTTTCTAGCCCTCGCGCTAACGCGCTCGGGCTCGAAATAGCGCCTCGGACCATAAAAACCTTATTATGCCCTTAATACATAAATAACTATTATAATACAAACCTTAGAAACAATACACAATAAAAACACACAAATACCTACAAAATCTTACAAAAATGCGATAACTATACGGATATAATTGAACGTCAAAAACGTCGAAACGTCAAAAAAATTATATAATCCTCGCCCTCTCTTGGCTTGGCTAAATATTATAATACTGTCCCGACATCCGACATAAGATATTTATCTATTGGTTTGGTCTAGGCCTTTTGTCTTATAATATCATCCCCTATCCACCCTCTTTTCTGCTTTCCATGACTTCTGGGACACACACCCTGTATAACTATTGTAGCGTTTGTGGATATTAAAACTCCTGCTCTACATCAACATAACACTACTTATTATTATCATTATCAATACTTTTATAATCTAACAAACCATTTAATAAATTGCCATTAAGAGTTCGCATATATTTATATAAAAAATTTGGAACATAAAATAATTTCCTATTATTGTTGTTTTAGAATTAACTTTTTAGTTACACTACGTTACACAAAATAAAAAATAATGAACCAGAGACCGGATGTCAAGCAAAAGGCGTAGATATTCAAAAGAAAAAATAGTTAGGTATTATTCAATTGAACAGTTAACAGTCATTTCATTCCTTAACTTTAACCGGTGGGCGAAATTTTACTTTTCCCACTAGTGGGCGAAATTTTACGATATCATCGTAACAAAACTACAACTTTTAATAATCAGCTGCCAAACGCGTGTTTTGATAATAAGGCTGGAAAATGTTAAAGATATCAAGAGAAAAATACTTGTAACGATTTGTTGTATTGTTTTTCGAGAGAAAATCCTGGGTTGAGTTTTTACCGGTTTCCCAATAAACAGTGGAAATTCGAATTAAGAAATAAATTTCATACAGTCCCATACAGTAAATATAAATTGTAGATACAATAAATACATATTTTAGTAATGATTTACGTGAAAATTGTAAATATTTCAATTTAGTAAAATCATTATACAAAATTTGTTTAATAAGTCTTCTAAATTAAAAGCGTTGATTGAGAAAGTCTCTACTAAACAGTAAAAAACAAAAAACGGTTATTATATCATGTATATAATATTATATACATAAGAGATAAATTCGTAGATATATTTTGTCATTTACTATTTTAAAATGCACTTTTCGGCGTTTTTTAAAGGTTGTTTGATTTTAAGTTTATGTTCGTACAACAACTATTTTTTATCAGATTTTTAAAAAATGTCCAAAATGAAATAAAAATTATATTAGGTAAAGTTATCATTATCACCAACAAATATACGTACCAAATTGGATCCTTTGGCAAAACATGAAAATTTCCAATTAAAATAAAAATAATTTACCATGGTCACTTATAATAAAATAGACACACTAACGTAACTGTATAAACATATAAGCGTTGAGTTTCTTAATGAAATAATCGAGTACTAAACCAACGCGAAACACCAATAACAGGCGCGATTTAGCTGTGCAATTGAAACTTGTCGAGTAAGACTTCTGCCTTCCTTTTTTATGAAAAAACTACTTATTTATTAAATGTGCAGTTCGTATGCTTTAAATGTATTGTTAACAATTTTTAAATTCCCAACATAATATCGATGCTTCTTTAACGTATATACTATGTATTATGTATCAAGGCAGTAAAGTCGTATTTTTTATCACGAATGTACATTGTACAAATTATTCGCCGAGGTAAAAAACGACTTTAAAGCATTAAGTTTTATCCAAAATCGCATTTATTAATTATAATAATTAAGTATAATTATTTATTGATTTTTTTACTTATTGAATTAACTGACAATTTTAACAAATATATTTATTTAGTAATATTTATTGATTACAATAGAACACATTTAGTTATTTTGTATATTAATTGACTTTACTGCCGATTTCAGATGCTTTTTGTCAAAATATTTAAAGGATTTATATAAATTATAGAAATTAAAGTTTTCAAGTATTTGAAATGCGGTATATGTATATGTTATAATTTTTCAAATTAATTAGAGTTAAAGAATTTTCTTTCGAATTATAGTGCATAATAATCCGGTTTCTAACAATACTTCCTAGATAAAAATTTGCAAAAAATAGATGTAATTTATTAGAAATGTCATTTGAGTATTATTGCGTATTATGAATCATTAAATAATATTTAAGGTAGTTAGCCTCACATTTAGATAAGTGTTTTATTTCAACATATGTCACTTGTAGAGTCATCTTACTGATATCACATACTTATTGGTTGTTTTATATTGTGTTATTCAGTTTATTGTATACTGTTGCGATAGGTTGTAGTGTAGTGCTATGAATATATTAATGTTGACTAATGTAAAATTATTTCTTTGAATCATGAACATGTTTTTATTTAAAATTATAATGTGGTTTATCTAGTTGTGCAAGTTTATAAATTAGTGTAAACATCTTTTATATACAGTTTTATATTTACCTACTATTGTTAGACATTTAAACAACGCAAAATGACGGAAACCACAACGAAAATTATATCCTCCAAAAATACACAAAAAGAACAAGCCAAAAGTTCAAACGAAACAATTACCTCAAAAGTATTAGATAAAGAGTAAGTAAAATTAAAATAAATAAAATTGTTTTATTATTACTTAACCATAAACTTTTTTAGAAAAATAATCTCTAAACTACCAATCTTGCAACTGAAAAACAGAAACTCAATTTTGACAGACCTATTTGAAAATCAACATATAAAGGCAATTCAACATTTATTCATAGCAATAATGCTATCACTAGCAGCAAATACCATAGTATATGAATACCAAAATTTCGGAAGGTAAATTTTGTAAAATTAAACTATTATTCCAATAATATGATTTATATAATTTTAGGATTAATTTTGGAACACTAATAATATCCCAAGTGTTTGAAAAAATTCACATTTCCATAGGAGCATGGCTAATCCAGTTGTTTTCCATTTTTTTGGGTTATTTAGTATTTAATTTCTGGGCAAGGCTAAGAAACAATTTTTTCCCAAAAACACAAAAGATTTGGGATATATTATGGGGTACAATGGTCCTTGTTTACTATGTTACCTCATTTAGATTTGCCGTTGAAGTTTGCAATAAATACAAACTGCCTATAGCATCAGCAGCCATTATCACTTTAGAGACTGTAAGTATAATAAAACCCATTACAACCATGCAATGATAACATTTTTCAGACAAGAATGCTGATGAAGTTTCACTCTTTTATAAGAGAAAACATACCAAAAGTACTAAACCACAAACCCAAAAGTGAAGAAAAACTAATTTTGTCGAAATTCTCCAAACTATTGTATTTCCTATTCGCCCCCACCTTGCTTTACCGCGATGAATACCCAAGGTAAACGTATTTGTCCTTTAATAATTGTTTATACTTATTGATTACTTTTAGAACAAGCCACATCCGTTGGAAATTTGTATTTGAAAACCTCCTCCAAGTTATAGCAACTGTATTCACCCAAAGTTTTATATTCGAGACTCTAATGATTCCAATTTTCGGCGAGTTTGGTCAACGAAGCTTCACCATCTCCGAAATAGTTTTCTGCCTTACCCGCAACTTTATACCCGGCATGTTCATAATAGTTTCCACTTTTTACTTGCTTCTGCACTGCTGGATGAACATGTTTGCCGAAATGCTGACGTTTGGTGATAGAAGGTTCTACATTGATTGGTGGAATGTCACGAATTTCAGCGAATATTTCCGGAAATGGAACACTGTGGTTGGTGATTGGCTCTACACCTACATCTACAAGGACATATACGAGTTGGTGATACCCAATAAAATTTTTGGAAAGTTTATGGTTTTCGTGGTATCTTGCATAGTACACGAATGGATTATGTGCTATTCCTTTGGATTTTTCTTCCCCGTCCTATCATTTTTCTTCCTTATGTTCGGGATGCCTTTGAGCTTTCTGAATCCAGGAAAAAGTGATACGCTAAATACTCTGTTTTTGTTTGGACTTTTCCTGGGAGGAGGAGGTTTAACCATGGGCTTATACATATTTGAATCTATGGCGCGACAGAATGATCCCATTGAAAACCCACCGTATCAAGACTTTTTTATACCTCGATGTATTAAGTTTGTTAATTTTAACGAAAGTAGATATTAAAGTATTTTTAGAAACAACACGTGCATTATTTTAGTATTTAGTGATTATGAAAATATATGGTAAATCAAATTAACCTTGTTGTTTTGACATTTCACAAAACTATGCAAAATTGATGTTAGCATTCAAATTTATTTAAAAATAAAGACTTGAAACTTTTCCATTCAGCATCTTTGGCCTTGAGTAAATCAAGATGCAGCCAGCTTGTTTATTTTTATTTATTTATTACTAGTTACCTTTTCGACACCTTGTGTATACTAAACTTTTATTCTAAACGAGAATTTTAAATATAGAGTTTTTTTCCACAAAAATAGATAATAGGTAAAAATGCACTTAACTATTTTGTGACATATTTTGGCCATACCAGGCCCGTAACTAGGGTAGGGTTAAAAGGGCCTTACCGCCCCAAATTTTTTAGAGGCTTCTGAAATGTTACGAATTTCAGCGAATATTTTCGGAAATGGAACACTGTGGTTGGTGATTGGGTCTACACTTACATCAACAAGGACATATACGAGTTGGTGATTCCCAATAAACTTTTTGGAAAGTTTATGGTTTTCTTCCTATCATTCTTCTTCTTCATGTTCGGGATGCCTTTGAGCTTTCTGAATCCAGAAAAAAGTGATACGCTAAATACTTTGCTTTTGTTTTGACTTTTCCTGGGAGGAGGAGGTGTAACCATGGGATTATACATGTTTGAATCTATGGCGCAAAAGAATGATCCCATTGAAAACCCACCGTATTAAGACTTTTTTATACCTCGATGTATTAAGTTTGTTAATTTTAACAAAACTAGATATTATTAAAGTATTTTTAGAAACAACAGTTGCAATATTTTGGTAGTAATTATGAAAATAATCAAATTAACCTTGTTGTTTTGACATTTCACAAAACTCTGCAAAATTAATATGTTAGTATTTAAATTTATTTAAAAAGTAAGGCTTAAAATTTTCCTTTATTTATTCACTAGTACAAGTACCTTCAGCAATTTTTCCCGCTTCCTTTAGTAAATCATTAAAAAATAAAGGTATAACATCTTTAGCTTCGAGTATATCAAGATGCATCCAGCTTTTTAAACTGATAATATTTATTTTGCATCTATTCTTTGGTTGTAAGTGGCTTTGAATCTTTTTTGCGGACTAAAACAAGCAAAATTAATACATTTGTACGTTTTTTTTGACAATATTTACCTCAACAGTTGATATCCAGTCGTTTAATCCTAACCACATCGAAACTGGCACTGGGATATTAGTTAAGTTATAAAGTGGCGGGTCTGGTTGGTTATAATACTCCATATTTAAACTTGTCCCATAATCGTATTGCGCAAATCTAACACTCTTCCCAATCTGCAACTCGTGTTTTAAATTTTTCAAACAAATTGTATCGGGGACTTTTTGTAAAAACAATGGATAGGTCTGATAGTCGATCTGCTGGTAATCAAATCCGAAAATAATCCCTGCCAATCCATGACATATATTCATTGTCAACACTCCACCGAGTGCGCAAAATTTAAGTGTCTCTGGCAAAAAGTCGAAAATATGGCCATGGAAGACAAACTTATCAATGAACTAAAAAAATAAACTCCTAAATTCTACATCCTATGGAAATAAATATTTTTTACCGTCAATAATGGCAAAAACGGTGTCAAAAACTTAGCAAAAGTTTTGGCATTAATGTAATAAGCAACAGGAGAAAACATCATGAGACCAGCAACTTTTTCTTTAGTTTCTTGTGGGAAAAGGCTTCCATACGCGAAACCCACTTGGGTACCCATAGAATAACCCATGTATATCGCTTTTTGGTTTGTGGTCGTCCAAACCAAGGTTAGAGCTGCCTTAAAATCATATATTGCCATTTCGTGAAACGTAAAATTCCAGTAACGATATTCTGAATTTGGTATTTTTCCTTTATTGCTGTACTTTAGTCCTCTAAATGATATTAACCACACATCATATCCCGCGTCCGCCAAAACAAATCCTACAAAATACGTACATTCTAAAAATCTGCATTTACAAACGAAGAAATTGTTTACCCAAAGACTTATTTCCCTGTGAAACAAATCCTTCACCATTCATCATAATTCCATGTCCTATTAAAACAGGATTTGTTTTCGTTACTTTACTGTTAAGTCTTACCACTAAAATCTCATAGCCATCATCAGTTGTTAAAAAGTGTTCTTCGACATTATATCCCCTTGATGATATAACTTCAGTCTACAATTATATTTTTTGTTTATTAATATTATTATCTTTAAATCTGGTTTTAAACCTGGCTCACATCATAAATCCTTTTCAATCTACTTTATATTATAAAAAATTTCACGTCTGGGGATCGAAAGGGCCAGTTTCAAGACAAGAGTTGAAGATCGCATCAGATGAACATTTAGTTAGTTTACTTACAATATTTCTTGTATTGTCCTTATTTTCATAACAGTGTTTCCCAGTGGCATAATCAATTGCAGTTTTGCAAACTCTTACAATTTGGGCCCCATAAAAATGTACCATAATACACAACAAAAACAATATTTTCATTTTTGCAATTAATAAATGAGTAACTTTTTAACCGTATATATAACATATAACTAATTGGTATTTATATCGATACTATAATTTATGGTAGAATTGATATAAATACACTTTGGCACGAATTAAAATAATATTTTTTCCAGTTGTTATTGTAATTAAGTACGGTCATTTTTATTTCTAAAAAAGTACAAATTAATTAAGTTTGAAATAAATAAAATAGCCTGTTTATTTTTATTTATTTATTGCTAGTTATGTTTTCGACACCTTGTGTATACTAAATTTTTAGTCTAAAATAGATTTTTAGTATTATAGTATAGGGTTTTTCCACAAAAATAGATTATAGATAAAAATGCACTTACCTATTTTGTGACATATTTTAGCCATACCAGGCCCGTAACTAGGGTGGGGTTAAAAGGGCCTTGGCCGCCCCAAAAATTTTGAGAGCCCCCCAAATTTTTAAGAGGCTTCTGATAAATTACTGTCGCCGGAATAAGCAATACAATATAAACTTTTCAAATATTGGTGTTATGAAAATATTTGTATTAAGATACATAACAAAATAATTGTATTCACCCAAAGTTTTCTATTCGAGACTCTAATGACGAAGCTTCAGTATCGCCAAAATAGTTTTCTGCCTTACCCGCAACTTTATACCCGGCATGTCACGAATTTCAGCGAATATTTCCGGAAATAGAACACTGTGGTTGGTGATTGGCTCTACACCTACATCTACAAGGACATACAAGTTGGTGATACCCAATAAGTTTTTTGAAAAGTTCATGGTGTTCCTGGTATCTTGCATTGTACACGAATGGATTTTGTGCTATACCTTTCGATTTTTCCCCATCCTATCATTCTTCTTCATGTTCGGGATGCCATTGAGCTTCTTGAATCCAGAAAAAAGCGATACGCTAAATACTCTGTTTTTGTTTGGACTTTTAATGGGAGGATGAGGTGTGGCGCGACAGAATAATCCCATTGAAAACCCACCCTAACAAGACTTTTTATACCTCGATGTATTAAGTTTGTTAATATTAACGAAAGTAGATATTAAAGTATTTAAAAAAATAACAGGTGCATTATTTTGGTAATTAGTCATTATGAAAATATATGGTAAATCAAATCAAATTAACCTTGTTGTTTTGACATTTTGCAAAACTATGCTAAATTATTTAAAAATATTTAAAAACAAAGGCTTGAAACTTTTCTATTATTTATTTCCTAGTACAAGTACCTTCAGCTATTTTTTCAGCTTCATTTAATAAATTATTAAAAAATAAAGGTATAACATCTTTGGCTTCGAGTATATCAAGATGCATCCAGCTTTTTAAACTGATAATATTTATTTTGCATCTATTCTTTGGTTGTAACTGGCTTTGAGTTTTTTCTGCGGACTAAAACAAGCAAAATTAATACATTTGTACGTTTTTTTTTGGACAATGTTTACCTCAACAGTTGATATCCAGTCGTTTAATCCTAACCACATCGAAACTGGCACTGGGATATTAGTTAAGTTATAAAGTGGCGGGTCTGGTTGGTTATAATACTCCATATTTAAACTTGTCCCATAATCATATTGCGCAAATCTAACACTCTTTCCAATCTGCAACTCGTGTTCTAAATTTTTCAAACAAATTGTGTCGGGGACTTTTTGGAAAAACAATGGATACGTCTCATAGTCGATCTGCTGGTAATCAAATCCGAAAATAATCCCTGCCAATCCATGACATATATTCATTGTCACCACTCCACCGAGTGTGCAAAATTTAAGTGTCTTTGGCAGAAAGTCGAAAATATGGCCATGGAAAACGAACTTATCAATGAACTAAAAGAAACCTCCTAAATTACTACATCCTATGGAAAAAACGATTTTTTACCGTCAATAATGGCAAGAACGGTCTCAAAAACTGAGCAAAAGTTTTGGCATTAATGTAATAAGCAACCGGAGATAACATCATAAGACCAGCAATTTTTTCTTCAGTTTCTTGTGGGAAAAGGCTTCCATACGCGAAACCCACATGGGTACCCATAGAATAACCCATGTAGATCACTTTTTGGTTTGTGGTCGTCGAAACCAAGTTTAGAACTGCCTTAAAATCATATATTGCCATTTCGTGAAACGTAAAATTCCAGTAACGATATTCTGAATTTGGTATTTTTCCTTTATTACTGTACTTTAGTCCTCTAAAAGATATTAACCACACATCATATCCCGCGTTCGCCAAAACAAATCCTACAAAATACATTCTAAAAATCTGCATTTACAAACGAAGAAATTCCATAGGTACCCAAAGACTTATTCCCCTGTGAAACAAATCCTTCACCATTCATCATAATTCCATGTCCTATTAAAACAGGATTTGTCTTCGTTACTTTACTATAAAGTCTTTCCACTAAAATCTCATAGCCATCATCAGTTGTTAAAAAGTGTTCTTCGACATTATATCCCCTGGATGATATAACTTCAGTCTACAATTATATGTTTTTTTTTATAAATATTATTATCTTTAAATCTGGTTTTTAAGCTGGCCTACATACTAAGTCCTTATCAATCTACTTCAACACCATTTCAAATGCTATCTATCAGAAAAAATCTCACGTCTGGAGATAGAAAGGGCCAGCTTCAAGACAAGAGTTGAAGATCGCATCAGATAAATTTACTTACAATATTTCTTGTATCGTCCTTATTTTCATAACAGTTTTTTCCAGTTACATAATCAATTGCAGTTTTGCAAACTCTTATACTTTGGGCCCCATAAAAATGTACTATAATACACAACAAAAGCAATGTTCTCATTTTGCAGTTATTAACTGAGTAACTTTTTAACCGAATATATAACGAGTAATGATTTTATACCAAACTAATTGTTATTTATATCAATACTATAATTTATGGTAAAATTGATAAAAATACACTTTGGCATGAATTAAAATATTTTTCACAGTTGTTATTGTAATTAGGTACTGTCATTTTTATTTCTAAAAAAGTACAAAATAATTATGTGCGATATGTAGATAAATTGGTCGTTTATTTTTATTTATTTATTGCTAGTTACCTTTATGACACCTTGTGTATATAAAACTTTTAGTATAAAACAGATTTTTAAATATAGGTTTTTCTCCACAAAAATAGATTATAGATAAAAAAAAATTTTTTGAGAGCCCTAAATTTTTTAGAGGCTTCTGATAAATTTGTAAAACCCTCAGTAATATACATATATGGGTATTACCAACTCATATAAACTTTTTAAATATTGGCGTTGAGAAACTACTTAATACTTGTATTTTTGTATTAAGATAATAATAGTTATTTGTTTTACAAGTGTTGAAAAGCGACTTTTTCATGAGAGTTTTGAAATTGACCACGAGGCCGTTAGGCCGAGTGTGCATTAACACGAGCTTGAAGAAAGCTTTTCTCACAAGTATAACACAATGTTTTTTCTGCGACCTTTTTATTTTTTATTATTTTTAAATACAAAACAAAATAACCTAAAAACTTTTTTGACAGCTGAATGTCAAACGATGCTGTCAATTTCTTTTCACACAGACCTGTCACTTTTCACACAGAAATGTCACTTTACATTCGTGTTTTGCCTTGCCAATGAAAAGATTCATTTTCTAAGCAACGATGCCATCATGAAAAGTGACTTTTACATAGTGGTCGTAGAAAAAATAATTTTCACATTTAGTATTATTTTACAAGAAGGACACTTTATTTTAACCATTGTATGACATTTGAGAATTGTGAACTAACTTAAAACTAACTTCAGCCAGTGACTAAAACGTCATAAAGCCACATCTTCTGTATTTAAAAGGTCACTTTGTGTCATGGAAACATGTACGTTTTAAAGGTGGGGGTAGAAAAAATAATTTAAATTAAAAATACACAAATAACAAAATATTGCAGTATTTAAAATACAATATTTTAATTTGTTATTTTGCCATAACGAAGCTTGTAGATTAAGGTTAAGTGTCACATAACAAAGCATAGGTAATAATTTATTACTTCTTACTATTGCTGTCCGAAGTGTTCTCTAATAACATTGTTCATTTAGCATCCAGATTGTAGATTTATGTGAAGTTTTCTTACAAAATCAAGCATAGACAATAATTCAATAATTATTATTAAAACTGTTCAAAGTGTTCACACAGAACGGTTTATTTTGTTGGCATCCAATAGAAAATATTATTATACATATTTATTCACGTGCATTTAGCGTGTAGTGGTGATTTGGTAAAATGAATGTACTATAGCTACCATATATAAATAAAATAATATTTTAATTAGAGATCTGCAAATAAAATAATAGTCTTAAAAATAAAGTACATATACTTACTTTTATGAATTCCATTGAACCTGGGTATTACAAGTGTAAGCTAATATCAAATAAACTTAAATCAAAATAACGAGTATAAACAAAATTAAATACAGACAAAATATGTAAATGTCTATAAAAAAACAAATAGTATCAACACAAACATCTTGTTTGCCTAAGTTGTATTGTTGTCGTTTTATTGTAAATATATATTTGTATACGTATTTTACATTGTACATTTATTGAGTGGGGGCAGGTAATATGGAATAGTAATGTAATTTTTTCCACTTATATTAGGTAAAATATTTTATTAATACAAGTAGACACTACAAAAATTATTTATCTAATACATTTAATTCACCCATTGTTAAAAAATTTGCAAAATATTTTTTTTTTAAGTTGATAAAAGTATGTTTTTTGTATAGCGAAAACTTGGCGGGTAATATGGAATACTTTATTAAATTTTAAATTAAACAATACATTATCGACAGAAGTGGCATCGTACTCTCAAAATATTTTTTTTTTAAGTTGATAAAAGTATGTTTTTTTGTATAGCGAAAACTTGGCGGGTAATATGGAATACTTTATTAAATTTTAAATTAAACAATACATTATCGACAGAAGTGGCATCGTACTCTCAAAAGGTCACATTTTTTCAATGGGGTCATGTGATACATCGTTAAAAAGGTCTTTGCAAGCTAAATATAACCAACTACTTTTTTTAGATTCTTAATAGGGTACCCTATTGTACGTCCGAAATTATTACAAAGAAAACCGCATTTTATGCTAGAGTACAATTTTTAACAATTGAGAATTTTTTTTTTAATTTGGTATTCCAATATTAAGGTAACACTTTTTAACATGTATGGATTAAAAAAAAACAAAAGGCTACGTACTACCAAAAAATACATAGTGGGTAATGTGATATGTCATTTGAAAGGTCTTTTGAAGCTATATCTACTTATTTTTCTAATTGCACAGAAAGGAATTAAAAAAATATAAATCTTATGTTGCTAATTTCCTACAAACACTGTGGCACAGTGGTTCCCAAACGGTTTTCTATGACGCCCCCTTTTTGATATCATGAAATGTTTATGCCCCCCCTGATAAATTAGACATTAGACAAGAACTTTACTGCAATAACATTTATATTATATTATAAAATATATTATATTTTACAAAAAAAAACTCTGATAACCCATTATCGCTTATTTCGCTGTATTTGTAGTTTTCAAACAGTTTCTTTGCGAACTAGATAATATGCGCGACTTAACTTAACTTTTTCAATTATACAACTGATGTATAGAATCTCAAAAATAATATGTCTAATTATACATATTTTTAAAAGACCTTTTTAACTTCCCATTGGAAAAAAATAGAACCTTTTTACATTAAGACGGCATTTTAAATAAAATTGTTAATTTTTTTATGTCATCAAAAAATGTAGGAGGCATTGCTATAGGAATTTTTTCATACCTACCCTTTCCATCGCGTACGTAATATTGAAAATTACTTTATATACAATTTGCAAAACTTATTTGGTATTAGATTTATTTTATTTTTTAAGTTTAAAATATTTATTATTTATATTATAAAAATCGAATTTAACGGATAAAAATACATTTAAAAAAACCAAAGTTAAACAAAAAATATATGACGACACAATTTGTTCCCAAAAGTTATTTACAGCAGTACACGGAACATTTTTATCAAGACTTATTATAATTAGTGTGTAGTAGTTTGATTAGGTAGCCGCTACGATTAAGATATTATTCATGCCTAATAAATTATAATTGTATCTGTGATAAAAAAGTGTGTTCCAATGAGGATATTGTTAATATTTGTTTATTTGTATTAGAATAAGGTAATGATGCTTTAAATAATTTAATTATACAATGATAGTTTACTTTTGGATTTTTTAAAATTTTAATGGCGATAAGTTATTAAATTGTCGAAACTTAAATTAAGCATTGTATAATTATGTAAATATGATTAAAATTTGTTTATTTTTGACCTAATTTATTCGGAAAAACATTATTGGTTATTAGAACTATTCATAAACTTTGAACCGTTTGTAAAGTTTTTCGTTGATTTTTTCAATTATTCTTAATTTTTTTTTAATGCAATTCAATGCTCAGTGTGACCTTATTTTATAGATAATTTAACAATAATTATTTAAAAACAATATCTATAGATTCCAAATTTCAAGGGTTTTAAAACAAATTTTTAATTTAAAATAAATGAAATCACATTTAGGTAAATTTTTATCTAATCTTTTTCCCAATTAAATTAATTAGGAGGATAATTAAACTTAAAATATGGGTAAAATTATCAATTATTAATAAAATTTAAATGTAATATAAATAACTCATAAACTATACATGAAAGACTTAGCTTGCCTATTCATATGGAATATTATTATAATATTTAATATTATTTCAGGGTTTTTATGAAAAAATTAAAATTAATAATTTGAATTTTAAATTATGGTTAGGTTATTTCTTGTTTTAAATTTTTTATTTTAATCTAGTGAACAAAAATTAAATGTCATGTAAAATCAAATTCTAAGCATTCCATATCGGTCTTTTCTAGCGAGATATTTTAAGTTTAATATCATTGGTTAGTGTAATAGAATTCATTATTATTAGAACCAATGAAATGCCAGTATTCCATAGTTACGCATTTTATCACAGCAAATTCCGTTTGTTATATGATTAAAATAAAGAATTCTAAACTTATATCGCAACTTCAAATAAGTTTCAATTACGTTAAAATAACTAAATCTTCCACGATACATTTGAAATATATTAATATAATATTAGCATAGTTGTAATCATATGATTTGCACCAGCAGAATATACTTTATAGTATTATAACTTTTTGGTGTATGTCTAAGTGTATTATGAATAGTAACGGCAACCAAACCACATACTTACGTATTACTTGAAAGTAGTAGTAGTATTAAAGTGGGTATACCAGTTTTGGCAACTTTTTCGCAACTTTTTACAAACCTTGAATGTGGCAAAACTTGATTATATAATTGCGGTGGTCATTGCCACGTTCTTGCTACTTGCTTAAGTTATTTTCACGTTTCGCATAGTTCCTTTCTTCAAAAGCAGATATGTTTACAAATAGTCGCCATTGTATGAAAATAAATGTGTAGTTTTAAACAAATAATTCTGGTTAGTACCGAACCAAATTTAACAAGTTAATAGATAATTATTGGTTTCAGGTGGCCCCCCTATTTAAGATAATTCAAATTAAAGTGGTGCAATTCATAATCTACTATAATTTATCGACAAATTTAAAATTTTATTTAAAAAATTCAAATATTACAGATTTTATACGATTTTAAATTTTTATTATTTATTTTATGTATAAAAAAAAAAATCTTGAAATCTCAAAGTTTTGGAAATTTTTACATATTTCAATTCGTTTTCAGGTAATTATATAGGTAATAAGTAAAGATTGGATTTTAGGTTGCAAAATTTATAAAAATAGGTAAAAATGCAACATTGCACAGGAATCTAAAATTCGCATCATTCAAGTCACTGTTCGCCAACCAGTATGTTGGTAATCTGGGTTGGTATTATTACCAACAAAAATAACTAATAATAATAATAATAATAATAATAATGTTTATTTATGTTCATTAAAACAGTGCTATTGCACTGGTGCCATGAACTAATACAAAATATTACAATCACAGGTTATGAAATATTAATAAAAAATAACAAAAAATAACCTAATAATACATAAACATAATATGTATATTATACAGAAAAAATATATAAGTATAAAATATAAGACATAAAATCACAGTAATCATAATTAGGATTAAATATTAACATTTTTTAGAAATTTTTTTAATTTTTTTTCAAATATCACTTTAGTATTGGCAGTCTTGATCTCTTCAGGTAGCAGATTATATATAATATACATTCCATTGTGTATGGCAGAGTTTTGGCAAGCATTAGTTCTTCTTAAATAATCTTTAAGATTATTTGCTGATTTAAGATTTACCGAGTGTATTTGTGAAGTGGTCATTAACACAGTATTGCTCTTTGTATAGTTTTTTAATATACAGTGGATATATCTAGTCAGTTCATAATGTATTAAAAAATTTATATTGCCAAAGCCAGTTATGTTATAAAGTTGGTTAGAAGGTGTTCTACGAGTATACTCCAAATTAAATAAAAACTTAATACATTTGTTTTGGATTCTTTGTACATTATTTAATAAATACTTATGTCATCAAAATACGAGAACCCATGGGTTAAAAACAAAGCATGTTTTCGATGGTACAAATTGAAAATTCCATTTCTATTAAAAATAAGAATTTTGGTGAAATAGGTAAAATCACACTATTTTGGGTGGTAGGATTTAAAAATTACTTCCATCTTAAAAATTAAAATTATGGTAAAATAGGTAAATTAAAATTAGGGTCAAATGAAATATTTTTATTCCATTGCACCTAAAGTTACTAACACTAAAATCCTATCCCTAGTAATAAGTTATTACTAATAACGTTTTGATTAATTAAAAACAGTATGTTTTGTTACAGAAAACTAAAAATGACTGAAGAAACAAATAACACACATTTAGAAAGAACAAAAATCAAAAAGTAAGTCTAAAAAAACCGATAAAATACCATCAATAAATTAAGATTTCTTTTTAGAAAAGAATACAAATTATCTGATAAGAAATTCGAAATCAGAAACTCACTTTTAACAGATCTCTTCGAAAATCCGCATATAAGTACTGTATACCATTTGTTTGCAGCTATTTTAGTTGGTTTAATTGTAAATACTATAGCTCACGATCTGTTAACAACTGGAAAGTAAGCTACATAATTTTAAAAAAATATATTTTTTTTCAAGCGTATGTATAACATTTTATAACACTCATAAGCCTTCGCAGTTCAAAAGTCAAATTATTATACACCGCCGTACAATAATGAAAATACATTGAAATTAAAAGAGGAAGAGTGGTTTTATCTATCGCGTTTAGCTCGAAATCAGCAAAGAAAATGTACACTTACAGGTCAAACCTGACAAAATGTCGCAAATTCGATAATTTCAATGTAAGTACTGAATAATTATATGCTTGAAAAAAAGTATATATATACAACACGGCGGAGAATATTAACTGCCGGCGCGCCGGCTTTAAATAAGCGCTTTCTTTGCCTGTTAGATAATGTACTATTTTCATCTAATTTGATTTTTGTTTAGTGCCAAACTAGGATTTCAACTTATATTATTAAGCTTTAACAAAATCTATATAGCAATCCCAATATGGTTTTTGGAATGTTTTTTTACCTACTTGTGTTACAAATGTTTTATACTGTGGGCAAAACAAAGGATAAGTCTATGCGTAAATGCAAATTGTGAGTATACACCGTGTTCAAAGTTATTATTGGAGCTACAAAGTCGGTTAAATTTGCAAATTAGTGGAATTGTTTCTTCTGATTTAAATGGAGAAAACAAAAAAACAATTGAACGTCGGGTTTTCAAAATATTCACAAAAATACATTTTTTTTAATAGGACTCCCTGTATAGTTTTACGTATTTTGAAATATACCTAATTTTTTTTAAATTTAGGGTATTTATGAAAAAAGTTATTTTTTTGTTACAAATTAAATGGTCTTTCAAAATATGTACAGGGTGTTCCATTAAAAAAATGTTATTTTTGTGAATATTTTGGAAACTTCAAAGTTCAATTGTTTTTCTGTTTTTAGCATTTTAACCGACTTTGTAGCTGCAATAATATCAAAGTTAACCACAACTAGGGTTTTATAATTTCCGGAAAAATTGAGCCGGTGGAAAAAAACAGAAAAATTGGGAAATTTTCAGAAAAATTAACTTTTGCATTTTATTCAAATGGTAATACGAAAAAATTAAAAGTCAATTTTTCTGAATTTTTTTAAATATCTGTACACTGCTCTCTTAAAATGAATTAGTCAAAAATAACTAATATTTGACTAATTGTCATAGGGCCATTTCACGCGTAACGGATAGGACAGTTGCCGTGTTTTTATTTACAAAATAATATTGTTCTATTATATTACCAATGTCAAATTTTTATAAATAGTTCTAAACTAAAGCTGTTTAACAGGGTTTTTATTTGCAAAATTAGGTATCGTGGTTGACTGTTTAATTCCTTAAAAACTAATAATTTAAAGCGTAACGGACGGGACTTTGTAATTGTCCCGCCCGTTACGCTTTAAATTATTAATTTTTAAGGAATTAATCAGTCAATCACGATACCTAATTTTGCCAAATAAAAACCTTGTTAAACAGCTTTTGTTTAGAACTATTTATAAAAATTTGACATTGGTAATATAATAGAACAATATTATTTTGTAAATGAAAACTCGGCAACTGTCCTATCCGTTAAGCGTGGAATGGCCCCATAGCGAAAAAGCAGTCACTAATAATTAGTCAAATTCTACTGAATGAAATAGTCAAATTAGTAGATTTAAATTTAAAAAAAGTTTTGACCCAGCCGGGGATTGAACTCACTTGTCAAGCTTGTCAAGCTGTTGTCATAACCCATTCGGCTGTCAGCCGCTCTTATAAAAATCAATTTTTTTGTCAATAAATATTGTTCATACTATTTTAAAGTTGAATATATTATTTGTGTTGCTGTTTTGAGCTAAACTTTTTGCATCTTTATTTGTTTTTATGGGTCATTTAACCATGGAGCTTAGGTATATGCATTTAATTCAAATAATACTTTGTTGTTGGCCGCAAACGATTAAAGAAATTAATTACTTTTAACTCTCAGAAATAGTCAAAGATGGTGACTAATCTTAAATTAGTCAAACTTTAACTTTTTACGAAGTAAAAATTAACTATTTAAAAGTGAAAACGACTATTTTATTAGTAAAAAATGTTGGTACTAATTCAAATAGTACAATTTTTACTATTTTATTTTTAGAAAAAAGTGGATTTTCTACTGTGATTATAATCATATATATACATGATTATAATAATTATTCCTATTATTATAATTTAGTAAGAATCTTCCACCGGGTTGCAAAAAATAAATTCGGTGCTGTATTAACATAACTATCATTTTATTTGACATATCGATTTATAAAATTATAATTTTGTAATTTAACTTTATAAATCATTCATTATTTTGTAAATGAATATTTTCAATGGATTCCCTTTTGCAAAAAGGATCCAACCGTCTATTTAACGTTTATGTTTATTTTCTTAAATCAATTCAATTTAATTCAATGTTTAGTTTTATTTGCTTTTTTTAAGGATTTTTCAAAATTAAAATAATGTTAAGTTGTTGATTGATTTGTATATTTTTATTTATAAAAAAAAATTCCCAAAAAAAGAAAAAAGCCTGAAAAAAAACGGAACCTAACAATTTTTCCGGTTTTTTTTTGTCACTTTAAAACCCTAGCGACAACAAACAAAGAACAAAAAATGCCTTTTTCACGGGATTTGTTATGTTTTAGTCAACTATATCAAAATAATGGATTATACATTATTTTGCTGCGTACCTTTATACTATGGATTAGCATTTAAAGTGTCCTCATACTTGACCACGACTTTCCAGTTACCACCAGCTTCATCAGCAATAGTGATATTTGAAATGGTAACAATATTCCTAAATGTATAAGAAAATATAAAAAACGACATATTCCAGGTCCGAATGCTTATGAAAACACATTCTTTTATACGAGAGAACGCACCTAAAGTACTAAACTACAAACCAAACGACGAAGATCCGCTGGAACTACCCGAATTTTCAAGATTTTTTTACTTTTTCTTTGCACCAACTCTCATCTATAGAGATGAATACCCCAGGTAAACAAAATCACTTTATGTTACAGAACTTTCTCTACGCCCTTGTATGTTTATTTTTTATCAACAATTCATTTATATTTTAGAACAACTCATATAAGATGGAACTATGTCTTCAAAAAACTCGGTGAATCCATCTGCGTTGTCCTAAATATGTGTTATGTCATCGAGAGACTCATAAGGCCAACATTCAATACATTCGGAGAAAGAACATTCACTGTAAAAGAAATGATTCTATGTATTTGCAATATGTCCTTTGCTGGAATGCTTCTCAAACTCCTAATGTTCTATTTTATACTGCACAGCTGGTCGAATTTATTTGCTGAAATTACCAGATTTGGTGACAGGAAGTTTTATTCCGACTGGTGGATTTCCACTTCCTATGGGGAGTATTTTAGAACCTGGAATATACTTGTAGGTGATTGGCTCTTTACCTACATATATAGAGATACGTACCAGTTTATAGTACCAGGGAATAAAACAATGGCAAAAGTTGTTGTATTTGTAATATCAGCTGTTGTTCACGAATGGCTGATGTGTTATATGTTGGGATTCTTCCTTCCCTTGATGTTTTTCTTTTTTCTGTTTTTATCTGGTCCTGCGAGCTTTGTTAAAGTACCCAAATACAACATTTTTAATGTTTTATTTTGGTATTTTTTGGCATTTGGTTCAGGGGCTATGGTTTGTGTGTATACCATGGAATTTTATGCAAGGGTCAATAGGCCAGTTGAGAATGATACTTTTAAAGATTTTTTTGTACCTAGAATGTTTAACTATATAACGTATTGAAAATTTGTATTTTTGTGTAATAAATTTTAAATTTTTTACCTTGGATTTTATTCAATGGCGGATAAGACCGTCGCGACTATAAGAAGAGATTTTTAATATCTAAAAAAGTGGTTTAATACCCTATATTAAATTTGTTAGTAACACCCCCCCAAGACCCTAAATAAAATCAGATATATTAAAATTGTTTAGAAGTTTATTCCAGTTATCTCAATTTCTAAACGATGGGGCCCACTCATAGCAGTTCAGGATTAAAAAATACACAGGCCTACAATATTTTTAACCGAAAACCAGACTATTATTCTCTGTAGGCTTATTACGTGCTGAAAATTGCTCTTTTACAATAATAAAATAAAACCCAAATTTTAACCCAAAAGATTTTTTATTAAAATTTTTAAGGTTATACTACTTCACACGGTCCTAAAGGCCCCGGTGCACTACACTGCATCCACTAGCGCTAGTTACGGGTCTAGGATGTACTATAAAAATGAATTAGTCAACTAATTTTCATAGTAAAAAAGCAGCCACTTATAATTCTCGTTAACAGAAACTTATATTTCGGACATTTAGCAGTCAATTCCTATGTTAGAGTTTAAAATTTTTACTATATCTCAAAAACCGCTCTACTTTCATAATTTTTGACGATATTTCCGGATTCAAGGGACAATTATACATAAGATTTGGCTGTTAAATGTCCGAGATATAAATTGCTGTGGACCACAGTTCTGCCGTGCTTAATGAAAACGCCGTAACCAACAATTGTGCGATTTTTGTTTTACGGCATTTTCTACTGAAAAATTCATCCTGCGTCTATCCCCGGTACTTAAAAAACCGTATCTATATATATATTATATATAATTGTTGGTTACGGCGTTTTCATTAAGCACGGCAGAGTTATTTATTAGTGGCAGCTTTTTCACTTTGAAAACTAGTAATTTTTGACTAATTCATTTTTAGAGAGTAGGGTCCCCCAATTCCCAATACCTATTCCTAAACAAAAAATTTCAGCGTTTTTTTGTAGACTGTGCCCAAGTATACTTGCTATAGCATTTATAGTGGTTTGCCACTTATACTTGGAACTGTAAAGTATAAAATCTCTGCCACGTGGTAGAAACGGTTTTATTACTTGGAAGCAGAGCTGTTCCGAGTACAATGAAAAAGTACTCGAGTACTGAATACAAGTACTCTTATATAAAAGTACTCGAGTACCAAGTACAAGTACAGTACCGTTGTACTCGAGTACCCATACGAGTAAAAAGTACCGAGTACATTACGAGTTATGAAATGTTGGGAAAAATGCTAGAGAAATGCCTTCATCAAATATTGATATTTCGCTTTATGTTAATTATCAAGGCCGACTAGTATCTTGTTTTACTTTGCCTTAGCTTTATTTTTTAATTATCTTTTTGAGGAATATTGTCACCTTATTTTTACCAAAATATAAACAAATTACATTTCATACATAAGTAAAAACCTTTTGTTCAATGCTCTTTCCTGTGTCTTTTTATTTATTGATTGAGGCTGTCTTAAGGCTTTTGTGTGAGGCAGGCTGGCCGAGGCTGCCTCAGGCAGCATGTCCGTAATTTTACGAGTCTGAGCAGTGTTGCCAAATTTTCAACACCCATGCACATATTTGTCCACGCCAACCTCACCGCATTAAAATGTACTCATTGCATACTTTGGATGTACTCGAGTACATGTAAAAGTACTCGAGTACACGGGAAAGTACTCGAGTACACTGAAAGTACTTGGAGTACAGTGTTTGAGTACTTGTACTCGAGTACCGCACAGCTCTGCTTGGAAGTGACTAAAATGGGAAGCGATTATTTGTAAACATGTCTGCTTTTAAAGAAGGGAACTTTAAAGTGGTAATTTTATACGAAACGTGGAAATTACTTAAGCATTTAGCAAGAACGTGGCAATCACCACCACAATTATATAATAAAGTTTTGCCACATTCAAGGTTTGGGAAAAGTTCCAAAAACGTTGCCAAAACTGATATACCCACTTTACTACTACTACCACTTCAAAGTAATACTTAAGTGATGTAATTTGATTACAGTTACTATTCATAATCCACTCTAAAGTTTAGACAACTTTAAGGTGGTGTCAAAAGTGGTCAAAACATTTCAGATACCAGACTAATACACCAAAAAGTTATGAAACTATAAAGAATATTCTGCTGGTGCAAATCACATGATTACAACTATGCTAATATAATATGAAGATATTTAGTTATTTAAACGTTATTGCCACTCATTTGAAGTGGTGATATCAGTTTTCGCCACTATAATGCTACTTTTTGGTGGGAGAGTTTTCGGTATTTGCCCCCCTCCTAGACCAGGGGCCCGGGGCAAACATATGACCCAAGATGCATACTAAAGTTTAGAGAACTTTAAGGTGGTGTCAAAAGTGGTCAAAATATTTCAGATACCAGACTAATACACCAAAAAGTTATGAAACTATAAAGAATATTCTGCTGGTGCAAATCACATGATTACAACTATGCTAATATAATATGAAGATATTTAGTTATTTAAACGTTATTGCCACTCATTTGAAGTGGTGATATCAGTTTTCGTCACTATAATGCTACTTTTGGGTGGGAGAGTTTTCGGTATTTGCCCCCCTCCTAGACCAGGGGCCCGGGGCAAACATATGACCCAAGATGCATACCATATATTATATATATATATATATATATATATTAATGTATATATATTTGTATATTTGTTATATGATGCATACACCTTATGACCAAACAAACGGTGTGTTGTATTGGAAAATAGTTTGTCTAGACGTAAGGTAGGCAACCCATCATATATGATACTGTATACAGTAAGTATCTAAACATATTTTATATCCAAGGTTTTTAATATTAATTTTTATGCTAGTTTTACTAAAATTAAAATATATATTTTTTAAATAAAATGATTTTAACAATGCTTTATTTAGTTCTTTAAAAATTAGTCATTGTTTTTTTTGTGATAGTTATTTTTAATAATTTTGCATATTTTTTTGATAAAAATATTTGTATGGTTTTAAATGATATAAAATTTACTTCATACGTTAACTTTTTATAGGTATTTGTTATTTTTAAAATTTTATGTTTAATTATTTTTATTTTTTTTAATTTTTTGGATTTCAATAAATTCATTTATTCATTCATGAACAATCTAAATTAAGACGTAAGGTAGGCAATCAAACATACAGTAACTATCTAAACACAATATGTTATATGTTATTTTTGTTATTGTTTATTTGGCATTGTTTTTGAAGCTTTTTTACAAAAAAAAATTATTTGGGAATAAAAATGACAATACTTTATTTAGTTCTTTAAAAATAATTCATTGTTTTTTTGTTAATTTTGCATTTTTATTTTGATAATAATATTTTTATGGGTTTAAAGGATATAAAATTTACTTCAAATGTTAATATTAGTTACATATCTTTTAAATTTTATGTTGTTTAATAATTTTTATTTTTTTAATATAGTGGATTCCAGTCAATTTATTTATTCATTCATTCAAACATGAACAATCTAAATTTAAAAAAAAAACATCAAACAAGGCACCCAAAAATTCCAAAACGCATTTAATTTTAACAGTTTGTCGACTAGATCTAGACGTAAGGTAGGCAACCCGGCATACAGTAAGTATCTAAACATATTTTATATCCAAGGTTTGCAATATTGATTGCAATATTGCTACCAAAATAAAACATATTTTGCAAATAAGAATAATTTTAAACATTACTTTATTTAGTACTTTAAAAATTATTCATTTTTTTTTGTTGATTTTTTTTTTAATAATTTTGTATATTTTTTCTTGATAAAAATATTTTTATGGTTTTAAGTAATATAAAATTCACTTCAAATGTTAATTTTTTATTATTTGTTATCTTCTAAATTTCATGTTGTTTGTTACTTTTTAATTTTTTTAATTTTGTGGATTCCTATCAATTCATTTAATCATTCCTTTAACCAGGAACAATCTAAATTAAAAAAAAAAACATATGAAACAAGGCAACCAAAAATTCCACCACGAATTTAATTTTAACAGTTTTACAAAACAAACTGTCCAAACGCTCGGTTTTTTCCGCCCAAAAATCGATCGTACGCGACGCTACGCAGTGGTCAACAACTTAAAACGAAAACATCATGTTTGCCTGTCCGCAATCGCAGGCTTTTTTATTCATCAGTTTCATAACAAAGCACTCTGTGGTCACCGGGGAGAAAATTAATAATAAATAACACTTAACGGTTTGTTAAAATCATTGCGGACTTTCAAAATGCTTTCAACGGCACGGAGACCAGAAACGCTAGAAGGTGCTCGAACGAGTCAAAATAGAGGGAAAACCGTTTAATTATTAGAATCGCAGACGTACACGTCTATCTATAGATATGTTAAATGGTGTGCAAAAATGGCAAAGACAATTATTGATCTAATTATCAACAATAATTTCCAATGCAGTGTTTTAGTTCAGTTATTATTGTTTAAATTATTTAGTGTTTGTTATTATTTTGTTTATTATGTATGTAGAATTTATTCGCAAAAATTAATTTCATTTTGCGATGTTATTGCGAAGTTTTCAACAAACACAGTTTGCCTCCAGTGTTAAGTGTACATCTTAGAACGATTTTATATTGTAAAAACTGAACATTTTTAATATTCAAATGTGTTAAAAGCAAACGTGTTTGTCATTGAAATACTTCCTATACATTCTGTGGTCTTGATACGTAAGCCCTCTTAGTTATGAATTATGAGAAAATTTTAATAACCATGATGTATGGTGACATAATTTTGTTGGGGATATGATTGGAAAATTGAAGAAGCTTCAAAATTGTAATGATTTTCTACTACGTATTTTGATTTTAATGGTACCTAGTAGCATTGATCACTTAACGGGAGTGGTAAAATTTGTGAAAATTGACTCAATTATATTATTGACCTTATTGTTACCAATATGTGTGTGTGTGATATGTGAAAAATAAGCCTGATTGATTTAAATTTAATACATAACAACCCTATACCACTTATTA